GCAGGTGCTCTGGTGGCCACTCCATCCATACGAATCACAGCTTAAATGCGAGATAGCGTCCATTCAGTGTGGATGCTATCTTTCAAAAAAGAAGATTGCTTTTTCTATGCGCTTTTGCTGTGTATACGCTCTCTTTTGGAAGAAGTTTTTTCAGAAGATCTCGTCTCAAAAAGCTTCTTCTGAAAGAAGCCTGCAGTCTAGACATAGCCTGTGGCATGAAAAATATCTATATAGTTTTGGGAGGAAGAAGAGGAAGTGACTGTAAAAATCCTGCTGTATCAACAGATGCAAAATTGCATACACACAAATAAGGGCACTAAAATGGCATGCAAGCTCTTTGCATGCAAAATGGAGTATGTGTTAGCACCTGCATACAGATTTAAGTGCTTGAAACAGATCTGTCTGAGGGTTTGGCTGCACAAAATTGTCACTTTTTAACAATGGATCTTCTGGCAGTAGCCTAATGTTGGGAAGAACTCTTCCTTTTAAAGAGAAAGTTCCTTTTAAGAAAAGTGAACCTGCAGGGAAAAAACAGTGAGAGAAGGGAAGTCAACCTGATCAGAATGAATGTGAACAGATGAAAAGGTGCTGGCCAGGGGAGGAAAAAAAAGTTAATTTTTTCCATTCACCATGATTATCCCCTTAAGTTACTAATGCTGAGTTCTCAATATTGTATAGCCAAAGAGGTGAAAGAGTGCTGGTCAGTACCATCTTTGCGACTGGCTGAGGAGTGTGGTCCCAAGGAATGTTGCACAACAACTAATAGGCCCTGTGTGGGGGCGGGGATAAGGAGGCAACTGCCTTGGGGCCCAGTGATACAAAAGGGCCTGGAGCTCCTGGCTGCTATGGGCAGTGCTTTCCAGGCAGTGCTGAAGGCTGCCTAGCCCCCATCCTCACCCCTTCTGCCTGAGACTCCGCCTCTTCCAGGGCATGGACAGGCCCCTCTCCCCGACTTCTCCAGAGGCCTGGCCAGGCTTTTGGCCCCACTGCTGACACTACTACTTACACAGAATTCTGTAATTCAACTACAAGATGCAAACTCTTTAGGGGCTGGGACCATCGTTTTGTTCCATGTTATACAGTGCTTAGCACAATGGAGTCCTAGTCTATGACTAAGGCCCCTCAGGGCTAGCTAGGGTTGCCCTCTTTCCCAACCAGATGTACAGGATACTCTTGCCACAGATGGTGTCCAGTCAGGAAAATTGGCAATCTTATGCTACACTGATACAAATAAATAATGATGATAAAGTGATTCATTGAAACAGATCAGACTGCCCTGGATGTTGGGTGTCAGCCTTTAAAACTCAGACCCTTTTATTCTTTGTGTAGGTGGCAGTGAGTGATACATAGAGGGTGAACTGAAGATGAAATAAAGATTCTGTATTTTGGGGAAGTAAAATGTGTTAAGAATATGCAACAGAATGGTACAGGAGTCAGGAGTAAAGGAGTCAGGAAATAATCTAGATATTTTTGAAAGTCATGAGTTCACTAAATGTATGGTGAATGTTCCTGAGGATTCCACTGCTATGATAGTTTAGTCACATATATAATAAACGCAAACAGAGAGATTAATGACAAGCCTTCTTCCACAACTGACAGAACCATCAGGAAGGGAGCCGAGTTACTCTGTCACTTTAAAAAATGATTGGCCTGTGGCACCTTTGAGACTAACATCATATATATAGTAGCCCAGTGTCTGAATCTGTAACGCTGAAATGCTGGCTGTTCCTTCTGGGCAGCGCTGTTGCTGAAATGCTGGCTGTTCCTTCTGTGGGGGCGCTGTTACCTGAAATGCTGGCTGTTCCTTCTGGGCAGCGCTGTTGCTGAAATGCTGGCTGTTCCTTCTGTGGGGGCGCTGTTACCTGAAATGCTGGCTGTTCCTTCTGGGCAGCGCTGTTGCTGAAATGCTGGCTGTTCCTTCTGTGGGGGCGCTGTTACCTGAAATGCTGGCTGTTCCTTCTGGGCAGCGCTGTTGCTGAAATGCTGGCGTGAACATCACCACCTCGCCCTCCTTCGCCTCCTGCTGTGGCGCTCAGCTGACTTCTGCGCCGCTCAGCCAGGCCACCGCGTGGGAGTCAGTGGTGAAAGTGACCTTTTGGGCTCCACGCTCGCCATACAGCACGGGGAGTGCGGAGCCCAAAAGGCCATTTGGGCTCCGCAGTCTCCCAAGTGAGAGGCAGGAGGGGGAGGAGATGAGAAAGAGAGAGACAGAGACAGAGAGAGAGACAAAGTGCCCTATTTCATGCCTTTGACCTGATAAAATTAATCAGTGGGTAATTTTCTTGGTAGATTAAATGCAAAATCAGCTCTTCAAGGGTTGTTAACCCATATTTAACTAGTATATATAAATTACCATGAGCTTTTTCATGGGTAAAAACCACTTCATCAGATGAATACATGAATTCATTGGATGAAGTGGGTTTTGCCTACCACTGCTCATGATAAGATATATATTTTAGTTAGTTTCTAAGATGCTACAGGGCTACTCATTGTTTTTAGAGAAGCAGATCTGTAAAGGTGCTTGATTGTTGTTGATAGACACAATGAATTCTACTTAATTATAAACTAGAAGGCAAAGATATGTATGATATCAAATGCTAGAAGAAGCCTGGATGAACTTTGGATAGGAATCCCGGTACTAGAAAATACTATTTGAAGAAGGAAAGTGGTCTGAGAAAATAATTGTAAAAAAGGAATACTTCCTCATATTAATCTGATTATTTCTTTCTATCTTCTTATTACATCCACATTTATTTTTATTTCATTAAGCCTCACTCTCTTGTCATAGTTAATTGATCTGGAGCATATGCGAGGCTTCCAGGCAAGGGCCGAGCGTTGGGCAGTCAGGCGAAACGCCCCGCGTATGTCAGGGTACTGACTTGGGAACCGTTATGACGCCAATACAGCCTACTGACCCGACCCCTACCTTTCCGCAGGTCGCGCTCCGAGAGCATGTTTACCCACAATCTTAGCCAAAAGGCTCACTCTCTTGTCATAGTTAATAATTGAGCTGATTAGTCTGAAATGTTAGCTTTCATGGAGAAACACAATTTAACTTACAATGTCATTTGTTTCCAGGTAGGGTGCTAAGCCTGGCAGTTGGCAGTCATTATCTTCCACTTTTCTTTTCTTACTTTTGTTTGCTTGACAAAAAGGATTATTACAGTCTTGCTGCTGTTACTGCTAGTCATAATAATAATTGATTTTGGACAGTACCCCCTGCCAAGGTGCTGGGGATATAGTTCAGTCATTTCACAATAGCACAGAATAACCCAATATTATAATAAAACTTCAAACAAAAATGAAATGGGGTTGGGGAAACCCTGCATAGTACAAAATAGAAGCGAGACGGTAACTATGGCTGTGATTTTTTTAGAAATGTCAATAGCCAACATTTTGAATGAAGGTTGTTTTAAAATTGCGAGGGAGGAGATGAAGAAAGGGACAGTAGGAAGGCATGCGTACCAGGATGCATGAATCACAGTGGCAAAGACATGAGAGTCGGCAGTTCTAAGACATAGTGGAATCTCTGAATTGATATTACGGAGTGCAAATAGAATTCTTAATACTGTAGAGCCAGGGCCTACATTGTGAGGGTACCCTCCTCCCCCGCCCAATTTTATGAAAATTGGCTTATGAATCTAAATATGCATTACCTGGAGATGCTTTGGACATAATACCTCATGTAACTTGTCAATTGTAATGTTACAGTCTGCTGGATCTGTATATCCTATTTTGGTGCATGTATCATTCTTGTATGTGAAGTTAGAAATATGAAGTATGAGACAGTTTATAGTTTTAAATGTGCTATGAGAGCCATTATTGGTAATCCTTCCCTCCCTCCCCACAAGCCTTAACAACTTGGTGATCGACTTAACAACTTCCAAATAACCTTGTTTGTTCTTTAAGTCTGAAGGTGGTTGGTCCTAGGAAAACATGTGACCATACCACCTGGTACTAGGATCCATTTTTTAACCTGATAATTTTCCGGGAAAGGGCGGATATGAAACAAAAGATTACAACCCTGAGGGAGAATCTATTTAAGTAATGGGAAGCTATCAGCCCTTTGTTTTTGGCTGACCAGGGGAATGGTATGGCACACTCTAAAAGGATACAAAAAGAACTGGAAATTCAAGTCAGAGTAAAAGTTTGTCTCTGACTTGAAAATTATGCCTGAAAGCTCTTTCTGTTAAGAATCTGCTTGAAATAAGTCTTTTAGAACTAACTATTGCATTTTCTTTTCATTTTAGTAACTTACTTTGATCTGTCTGTTTTCACCTGCAACAACTTAGATCCTACTGTTTATACAGGGAAAGATGGAGTTGTTTGGATATTTTTGGTTCTATCCGAGGATTTGTTTCCCGGGTGCTCTGTCCTAGAATTGCATCCTCCTAGAGCTGAAGTGGTTCAGTGTCTGCATTGCTCTGCAGGGTGGTAGTAACCACAACCCTGTGCCTTATCTGGGGGAAACCAGAGGATCTGGCCCAGCAGGACAGGTTGTGGGGAGCTCCAGAGAACAAGAAAGTGGGCGTCAGTGGCATGATCAGCACATTGGGGAACAATCTCATGGGGACTTCTGTGACCACACCCTATCACATACACCATTAAGATTTTAAAGACCAACCAGGCCAACTACAAGTTCTGTGGTTATAGACAGCAAGTGTAAAATAAACAAACAAGCAAGCAAGCAAAGGGAGGATGGGAATAATATGACCTCAGAAATGCTTACACCTGGCTGTATTTTATACAAGTTACAAGCAATGGCAAAGCCTTGTATTAAAACTAGGTAACAGGGAACTGCAATGATTTAAGTTTGTGTCCATGGGAATAGATGTTGTTATATGGTAGTTATAAATAAGATTAAATGATGAGTGCTCCCCGAGAAAGGCTGAGCATTCTCTATACCCATTGACTTCAACGGGAATTGAAGGGTGCGGCTTAGACATTTTGCACGACTGCATCAGAGCCTTTTGAACCCTCTGTAAAACGCAGATACAAAAATTATTCTATAGGATACAAGGGTCCTTTGTTATGTTTAATAAACATTTCTTCATAAAAACATCCAATACAATTAAAAATATAATTGGTCAGTATTAGTAAGAGTTTGAGAGACATGGCAATATCAGACAATCTTCTTTTTTTAAAACAGAAGTAGGAATAGAGATGTATTCCGATTTCTTTATATTGGACTGACTCAGAAAGCAGTTACTTCATATTCTTCTAAAATCTGATTGAACACTCTGAAGATCCCTTAAAGAAATCAGTTGTGCTGAACTGACCAGCATTCTTTGTGTACATCTCTTTGATCCGATCAGGTTACAGGCTTGTTTGCTGGGCTGCAGATCCTGTTATTTCCACCTTTACAGTGGTACGTGTCCTAGGCAAGTCCTTTGCTTCCTGGTATTCAACTACCCCATACATCACCATGGCCACCACCAGTACAGCCAGCACGATGTACAGTTTGATGTAAACATGTAAGAAGGTGCTATATCCAAAGGCTATGACAAATCCCAATGACTCCCAGAGTCGATAATTAGCAAAGGCTGCCTCTTTGTGCTTCTCAAATAAAACACCATAGAGTGCTGCAAAGAAAGAGAGATGATCTTTTTGATGGTAAGTCTGAACACATGGCATATTCTATATTTCCTCCAACCGGAGCTATATTTCCTTCCCTGTAAAGGTCAAGTCACAGGAGAATGCAAGCTTGTCATGCAAATTATAACCCATAGTGTCATAAAAATATAACTGTTGAAGTTGCTCTCAAAATGTCAGGGCAAGCTATGAGAAATGTTTACCGGTATAAAGGGGACAGTATCATAATCTGAGCAGTAGAACCTTACTAATTCATAGAAGTTACAAGGGGACACTTACTGGATTTTACAAATTAGTGAGTAAGTGAACAAACATGGTGAGAAATCAAGGCTAATGCATCAAAATTAGGATCAACATTACCAAGTGTATAGCTCATTAACCTGGATCAGTGTAGGTTAGTATTAATGATCTAATAGTTCCTCACAGTGTACAAATAAATGTCCTATACTACATTTTGTAAAAGTAATGATGTTTTATTAACAAGAGACCTTGCTTCAATGCTTTGTAGTTAATTATCAAAAGAGGTTTTACTTGGGTGAAAATGATTGATTCCTGGATTAAGGAAGTGAGAATTAGTATAAACAACATTTGCTAATATAATACCATTTCTGAGAATAAAGAGTTTGTTTTTAGGAGGTTTATTTCTTGTTTGTTTGGGATGGTTTAATGGGTTTTGTCGCCAGCAGACCTTAGCGCCTACCTCCATCAGAGGGGCAGGATTTAGGACTCATCCCCCTAATTGGCAGCTTCCATTGATTAGTTTAGGTCCTCCTAGAATGCTGTTTTTTGTGGCTCTCATTCTCAGGCACCTGTCTCTCCCCATTCATTGTATAGGGAGCCTAAATGCCTAACTCAGAATTGGTGGATTCCAATTATTTTCTAGGCTCCTGAAAGTTAAATGTTGCAACACTCAGCATGGTGATGCCTAAGGCAGTGGGGCTGACAGCCTTGCCGGGTCCCTAGGCAAGGAGTTGGGTGGGTGGGAGGGGGGCGCTGCTCTGTGTGCCTGGCTGCCTGGAGAGCACCACACCTCCCCCAGGCAGCCCTCAGTGCTGCCTAGAGTGGCACTCCAGCAGCAGTTTAAAGGGCCTGAGATTCTGGCCACCACCCCAGTGACTGACAGCTCCAGGCCTTTTTGTATCATTGGGCCCTGAGGCAGGTTCCTTAAAGGTAATTAGGTACATAAGTGTGATAGACTGATGGAAGTAAGTGGCCTGGATAGCTCTGAGGATCTGGGACTTTGTGGCCCTATTACTCTAACTTCTGGGTTGTACATATGCTAATATCTAGGCATAAGTCACACAGGAACATGAGACTGGTGAAGGGAGAATGGAGAAGTGAGCACTGTGCTTCCTTGGGGCGTTGCCTGATCCCAGCTGCAGAAATAGCCCTTTACTTTTAGGAGCATAAGCCCCAACCTTATTTTTCAAGTATTTCCCTTCACTCCTTTCCACCCTTCATAAGCGGGGGTGGGCACAAACCCGGGCTGTTGAAAATAATGTGAGCTGCTGTTCTATCAGCTTTCCAGACTGATTCATATCCTTTCTGAAGAGGCATGCGAGGCTGGCAAGAATTTTATTTTGCTGCCCTCTACTTTGTTGTCCTGTGCTATACAATTGTTATTGAAGAACTGCAATTATTAGCAGGAAGCACTGTGGCAGCGTAGATATCACAGCCTGTTCAGTTTAGATATGAGAGGGTATAGTACAGATTCCAGTCAAAATATCTTGGGAAACACATAACCACTCAGCCACCCAAAAATGTTAGAATACATTTGTATAAGGAAACAGGTGATAGGATTTATTCAGTTCTAATTAATATCCTATAGGGGGAACCCTTGATCAATATTAGCATGCCTATCCATACCAGGGCAAAGTAAATCTTCTCTGACTATCTCATAAGCCCGAACCTGGTGGTTTTATTTTGCTTTTAATCCAAATAGACTTCAGTGGGGGCTTGCCAGAGTAAGAAATGCAAGATTTGTCTTTAAACTATTCATGTAAAAGGCATGCCTCTTGACTCACACTGCTGTAAATCAGGAGCAACTCCAGTGAAGGCCATGGTGTTATACCAGTGTAAACTGATGCAGGTAAGAAGAGAATCAGGCCCAAACAGGGCTCCTGAGCAGACATATATGGCGGTACCATGGTGTGATGCAGCATTATGATGTAATAACATTGCATCTCTCCATGAAGGTGTAATGTTATGGGAACAACCCATAACAGTGAGTAACCATGCCACTGCACCACAAGGCTCACTAACCACAAATGCTCACTCTATGCCAGCAGTTCCCAACTTTTTCCAGATGGGGACCCATTTTGACAATTCAGGAAGATTTGGTGACCCAAGGCAATTCAAAAACTGGGGGAGGAGGGAGGGCAGAGCCATCTGGGGAGACACTTGGCGACCCTTTTGAAATGTAATGGCGACCCATATTTGGGTCCTGACCCATAGGTTGGGAAGCCCCACTCTATGCCAATATGAAGAACCATCAGTTGTCAGTAGGGTTGCCAGGTGTTCAGTTTTGAACCGGACAGTCCGGTATTTGAGGGTTCTGTCTGGGAAACAAATTGAGAAAATACCGGACATATAAAATGTCCGGTATTTTCTAATTAGGTAAGTTTTATTTTTATTAGGAGTATCAGTACGTAATTGTGAACTTCCTGGCTGGTAGACATGCTATGCTGGGGCAGGGGAGAAGAGGGGGGCCAGGGAGGGATGGAATCCCCGGGTCCTGTCTCGTTTGTGCTTCGTTTGTGCCCCGCTGCCCCCTAATTGTGAACTTCCTGGCTGGTAGACATGCTATGCTGGGGCAGGGGAGAAGAGGGGGGCCAGGGAGGGATGGAATCCCCGGGTCCTGTCTCGTTTGTGCTTCGTTTGTGCCCCGCTGCCCCCGACCCCCTCCCAGTCAGCCCTGATTCCCACTGGCCAGTTCTCCCCCTTCCCGCCGGCCATCTCC